TTCCACCCCCTGCCATGGGCAGGGACACCCTCCACTAGTCCAGGTTGCCCAAAGCCCCATCCAACCTGGCCTTGAACACTTATCAGGGCAGGCAACAAAAACAAGAGAGGAAAGTAAAAATTTACAGTTGATAAACTATGATCTGGGACCTCAAAATTGGAAGAAATAACTAGAAATCACACGGCAAATGGAAATACTGTAATAAAACACATAGAAGAACAAGAAAAACAAAACTGTGAGCAGGGTGAGACTTCAAAAGTTCTCAAAAGATTTGAATCGGACAACCATGTGGTTTTTTTCCTTTCTAGGTCAGTGAGGGATAATTCATATGCATTTCAGGTATCTTTTAACATAACATAGATTCTGAAAACAGTTTTGATTGTTTTGTTTCTAAGTGACCGGAGATTGTCTGCCCCATGTTGATTGGTACCCAGAACTCATATCTGCTACCTTTCCAACAAGGTATGCTAGTACAGATTTGAATCACAGGTGACCTTCTCCAGGATGCAGATACTTCGGTACTCCTTTATCTTCATGACACAGAAACCTGCTAATTCTTTGCTCACAAAGGACTTTGGAGCATCAAATTCTCTTCATACATCTGAGTTTTGTTATAAAAGAGGCCACTCGATTTCCAGTGTAAGAATTAAATTTAGCAATGCAAAAGTCAATTAAAATACATTTTACAGATACATTATATATATATGTGTGCGCTTGGATTGTGGCAGAAGTATTGCTATGGACTTTTAGATATAAAATGAAGAAACAAACAAAATATGTTAAAAGTGTTTCAGTGAGGAATGAAGCTAGCTCTTCTTCATTTATGTGAAAACATAAGATTAAGGTTGGTTTTGTACAAATAAAGGTATCAGATTTATTTTTACAACAGCCATGGCCCTTCTCTCATGAGTGGCAGACACACAAATGATGTCAGTATCTATGACTAACAACTAAAAATAAAGCAGATATTTTTGTACAGGCTACGTAATATCCTATTAATACAAAACCATTTTGTTTAGTTTACATTTTCTTTGGAACTTACCCCTTCACAGCTTTCTCTGAGCCATTTCCTTATATCATACACTGTGAACTATTGTCACTCATGCACTTCTAGCGGTTTTAGAAAGAAAAAAAAAATCTGCCTCATCTGCATCTGATGACAGCACTTTTCATTAAGAGTTTAGGAATTCATCCCTCTCCATGACCCTTCTAATTCTACCAAGTTAAAAAAGAAAATCCATAAAAAAAACATTTCCCAACTAATCCCTTTCTCTCATATGTTGTTCTGGGTTTTTATCCCTGTAATAAATGCCTTGCTACATCTTTACTGTGATTAGTCTCATGGGATGTACATGTGCTGAGCATCTCCCCCGGGGTCAGAATCCCATAGCAAATGCCAACACGTGTTTGAATCCCCCCCAAACAATCCAAGAAGCCGGTACTTTATCATCAGTATTTTACACAGTGTCGCTACCAAGTTGGCAGAGGAGAGGGGCTAAGAAAAAGCTTTTTTATTTCTTAAATGTGAGGCTAAGGTGTTTCCAAAGTGAGGGGTTTAATGCTGTTTCATTTCCTACAAGTACAATGAGTCACTAAACCCCAAACAGGCACGTGTACCCCCCGAAAATCAAAACCTCAGTGCTGACTGGATCAGGGTCTTGCTAAGCAAGTCTCTAAAAGACAGAAAATATATCCGATACCAAGTGGAATTTTTGCTTAGAAAGAGGGAAGAAAGCAGGAGATCCTCACAGGCAGCGGTCCTGGCACTCGCACAGCACGCCAGCAGTACTGAGGGTTAGAAGAGCTCTGTGCCTGTGCTTTTGGGTGGTGGTGAAGGAGCCTACCAATCTTTCACATTGGAGTATTTTTTTTTATTATTCTCTACAAATAATTACATTTTGACTGGAACAGGAACATGAATCCAGATTTAATTGAACCTGGATTTTTGTCACATATGCTAAATTTGAATGGCTTTTACCTGGACTCGTCGTTCTCTGTGTGACCTTGTTGTGTTCATTCTGACGTATTTTTTGTGCCAAGTGAGGAGCCATTGACATGGTAACACGAAATACGATTTAATCTTGTTCTGGAAGTTTTTCCTTTCCTCCAATGGGAGTCTGTCATACAGCGTTCCAGTCTTGCTGTGTAAACAGCCCTAAATTACACTCCACAAGATTTCATCCAATGTAGTAACACTGACAATCCCTACGTACACTTTCTTGGTTTTCAAACTTTTTCTTAAAGCAGGCTGACGTGTATAAAAAAATCTCACCAGACTTTACCGCATCAAAGTTCTATAAAATGCTCCAAAACAAATGTGCCTGCAGACCCTAGACCTCTGCCAGATTTTAATTCAATGTGCAAATCATTTACGTGAAGCAGAAAAAATAATCCCTGTAGGGATGATTTGATGTCGGATGGGCATGTCCCCCTTTTTTTTAACAGTAATAATTAATTTATAGTCAGTTTCAGTAAACACCAATTTCCCCCATAAATAAAGATGCAAAACTCACAGACTAGACATGATCGCATTTTCTGTTTCAGCATTTTAACATTCATTGGTTAGTGTCCCCCACAAAAAATCCTTGGTCTCAAGTTTAGATCATAATATCGTAAAAAGATTTAAAAAGTGGACTAATTTCTTCTTGCATTGTTTTCCAGTTACTGTCATAATAACTTAGAACCTAGGGCTCCTGAACTAATTTTTTAAAAATATTAAACTCTTCATTGAAATTTAAATCCCTTCTTCTTGGGATATTTTTGCATATAACAGTCTCAAATTCTAATGTAAACAAGCAGTCAGATAACAAACACCCTTAGAAAACTCAGCATCCCAAGCAACCTCTTGTACTGTTTCTCCTTTTTCCGGGGAACACATTTTCTGGCTGGTCGTTCTCCAGAACTGCCTGGAGTCTCTATTGTTTTATTCGGGTCACAAGAATCTATGTCGATCTTATATCCCCTACGTAAACAAAAATATCGCTACATCTTGAAATCCAACAAATCAATGGAACACAATTGTGTAGGGATATAACGTCCCCCAAAGAACAGATGATGCTACTCAACCATACTTGTTCTTTCTCTGTTGGCGCCTCCTGGACCTTTGTAAACACACCCAGTGTAGAAAGTTATTTAGTACCACTCATGACCCCCAGAAATTTCATCCTTTGTAGGTACTGGCAATTGTTCCTGCTGTTGTTAAATTTTCTGAGATCAGTAAGCAAAGAGTTCTGGGGTGCACTTAAGTCTCACCTTTTTTAATCTTTTTTTTTTCCCCCACTATAAGTGACTTTTTTTTTTCATTGTCTTGTAACTGACCAACAAGCGTTTTCTCAACTGTTTTGTTCCTCCACCCTTCCAGTGAGAAATCCACACTCCATACACAAGACCACAGGCCTTCACATTTTAACCCAAGAACCAGTATTGGTTTGTAAAGGCATGAAAAGATCACATTCGCTTTTAATTTGCTTTACTTTTTTGCGTGACAGTTACTTATCATGTAGCTTTACCTCTCTCTAGATTGTACCCGTTCTTTTGACACGCAAAGGCTTTTACAAAGTGGTATTATGCATTACTTCTCTTGCATTTACTCTCATATACTGGATGCTTGCAAAGCTGGTTCCCAAAGCACGCAAAGCTCTGTCAATTTTGTTTGAATGTGAAGATGACTGCTGGGTTTTATGACTTGAATTTTATCTGATATTCGCATTCCCAAGAAATTCTATAACCCCAGAGCTTTGCTTGCCTTCTATTAATTTTACTCTAGCCTAGATAACATCCATTAATTGGGAACTTTTATAATGTTTTATGAAGTGTTCATATGGGCTCTTCCAAAAGTTCTTGTGAGCTATTTTCTTAACATCATAATCATTGCTTCCTACCTGATCAGGGCACAACGTCCCAGAACTGCAAAATTATCTTTTCAACACTGCAGACATCACCAGCTCTCCTAAGTTTAAACTTCCTGAATTTAAAATGAATCTTTCATATGTTTTAAGTGCAGCACTCTTCAGAATTCTGTCCTACACCTTCTGAAGGCCTAAGTTACCAAAAATTATTAAACCCACAAATGCTTCAGAATCAGCCATGTCCAAAAATAAAAATACAAAAACACCTTCTAATGGCTCCCCATTTTTTCCAACTACTGTTCGCAGGCTCAAGGGAGGAGATATTTGAAGTTTTCCTTTGTAAGATAAGTAGTTTCAGCTGCAAGGAAATTTTCAGCTGTGTAACACTTATTTAGGACAGTGAATTTATTTCCTTTAATTTGATTTCCATAACTGGTATTTGGTTTGTATAGATTGAGCAGAAAGCCTTTTTAATCCACGACCAGTTAACAAGGCACCCTCAGGAAGGTCAATCCTGTAAAACACATTGCCCACTTTCTCAGTCGTACCTGGATGTACTTACTGTCTTCAAAATAATAACACAAAGTTTGGCCTTGATTTTAACATATTCTTAGTTGGGAAGTGCACCAGTGGACAGAAATTATACATGCACCACCACACTTCCTCCCCAAAATATTTGCAGTAGGTTCTACCTACCTACTTATCCTATGTCTCATGAGGGGACTTTTTGTACTTAACCAATAAATTGTACCTTGAGGGAAGGGCTTGAAACAGGCTTGACCTTATCCCTGTTTCCTTCCTGAGCTGCTTAGATAGCTGACATGTTTACAACCTTTTAAAGCCCTGGAGATGTCTTTCTATAATGACTACAGAAGCAAATTACGTGCTCTGTGTAAAAGACAACGCTGCTATTACTGCACGTATTTCTGAATTTCAGTGGTACTTTGAAGTCACTTCTGGTTAAAATGGTAGCTGAATATGCATTGGTTACACAATAGAACTAGGAGCAAAATACCCCGTAAAGAAATAAAGGCATGAAAGAACTTCTACTGAACAGATCCCCCCCCACCAAAAAAAAATAGAAGATAATTTTAAAATAAAAATTCCACCTAGCAGAAGAAAAAGTTTATTCAAATTTAATTACATGCTCACCTTTGACTCTATCTCCTTTGTGCAGATGAATTTCCCCTTCTCCTTGAGGTTGATATGGCTTTACGACAATAAAAAGTCTTCCAGGTACAGCACTGTAAAGCTTGCGTTTTGGACCCTGATAATCCAAGGCAGACAGAGTATCCTTGTTGGCACTAGGATTGTAAACGGCACTAGAAATTGAAATTAAAAAAAATATTAACTGGTTATTTAAAATAGGCAAAGTTAATAATATACCATCACATTAACAGAATTAAATTAAGCAGTGAATAACATAATTTTCTTCCAGTAAGGCATCTAACCCTGCAGAAAAACACACGTTTTCCATCCTAAACACTTGCTTTTAATGGTTGAAATCTTTCCATATGAAACTTGATCAATATTCACCTGACCATGATAGCCTAGAAAAGAAAACACATAACACTAAAGTTTTTAGTTTTTCTGCTAATTAAACTTGCACTTTCACAGACACTAATGAAGTTTAAAATTGATATGCAAATCATACCTTACAAGCATCACAATTAGTCAGAAAGACTTTAAAACGTCAGTATTTACAATTATTCTTGGGAATAGATATCTTTGTAATATTGTAACATTAATTGAACAATCAAGACAACTGAATTATTAACTGAATAGACTGAATAATCAAGTTACTTCATCACTCCAAGGCCTGGAGCTAAATTTTAGATCTGCAAAAAGCATGCTGCTTACGGCTAACATATTCTCCAGAAGATCATTTCTTATTGATGGCAATCAATAGCTCTCCCAATGACTTCAGACTGGTATGCTCAGATAAGCCATAGGTCATCAAACAACACACAATCTACTTATGATGTATAAAGCAGAAATTATTGAAAGCCAGTGACCAACGCATAAGATCACTACTAAACCTCTGGAAAAATGGGTGAACTGTCAAAAATATAAGGTGAGAAAGAGGCAAATATTGAAGAGGATGGAAAACCTACAGGAGACATCATAACAAACTTGCAATGCATACTATTCAACTTTAAAAAAAAAACCAAACACAAAACAAACCAAACAAAACTTGAGGTCTTACATATAAAGTCTAGAAACAGAAAATATTCATGAGAAATAAGAATATTCATAAAGATTTATAGGAAAAAGTTAGACTACTAAAGGAAGAAGCATGCTTTAATGGTGGTCTATCATTGCAACACTCTGCTTACTTTCTTGTAAGGAGAAAGAAAAGATCTCAAACTGCTATAAGCAAAACAAAATACAAAGGTTGGAGTTTGCTGTTTCTTTGCCCTTTTTTTTTAAATGAAACTCACAGAATCCTAGAATGGTTTGGGTTGGAAGAGATCCTCAGAGATCATCTAGTTCCATCCCCCCTGCCACGGGCAGGGACACCCTCCGCTAACCCAGGTTGCCCAAAGCCCCATCCAACCTGGCCTTGAACACTGCCAGGGAGCCCGGGGCCGCCCCCGCTTCTCTGGGCAACCTGTGCCAGGGCCTCAGCACCCTCACAGGGAAGAATTTCTTCCTAATATCTCATCTAAATCTACCTTCTTTTAGTTTAAATCCATTACCTCTTGTCCTATCACTACACCCCATCATAAACAGACCCTCTTCAGCTTTCCTGTAGCCCCTTTAGGGACTGGAAGGGGCCATAAGGTCTTCCCGGAGCCTTCTCTTCTCCAGGCTGAACAAGCCCAACTCTCTCAGCCTGTCTTCATAGGAGAGGTGCTCCAGCCCTCTGATCATCTTCATGGCCTCCTTTGGACTCTCTCCAACAGCTCCATTTTCTACCAAAATAGCAGTCAGTAAGGGTGTCAATATAGGTAGAGAAGTTGTCTGGTAAAAAACCCAAACATAGTGGATCTCTCATTTCAGGAAAACTTCCATTTTCCTGCAGTAACTTCTTTATCGTCTAGAACAGCATGCTCCTTTCACCTCATTGTTCTGTTCTTCTACTACTGTGAACAGGTGCTAATAAAGATAAGCTGTACTTAAGGGTTTAAAAGTGAGCTCTGGTTGCACGTCTGCGATGGGGTTTGCATCAGAAACCTCAGCCAGCTCTCACAGTTGTTTTCTCCCCTGTCTAGAGAAGGAGGGGAGTGATAGAGCGGCTCTGGTGGGCACCTGGCCCCCAGCCAGGGTCGACCCACTACAACAGCAAAAGCTGACATTCGGGTTTCAGTTCTTTTGCTCCATTCCTTTCTCCTTATAAGCGAAGAAACAGTCATCACCATAAAAAAAAATCCAGATCTATAAACTGGATGCCCCACATCCAATTTCTGCTTGTATCAAGCTGTACTTTCTGGCTAGCCTGGTAGCAGCCAGGTAGCAGCTATTTACAACGTTACATCCCAGCATCTTCTTTAACTCCCATCACAGAGGATTCATTCATTTTCTCTCTTACTGAAAGAGGAGAAGGAAATGGCACATTTAAACTTCATGCTGAACGTATCATTTCTCATGAGACAGGCTTACTAATGGAAATCAGGGCTGTGACATGGGATAGATCACTTCTTTAAAAAAAGATCTTTCCTCTCCTCCCTTGTCCCCAGCTTGGGCTCCCAGCCCAGCAAGTGCCATGCCATGAAGGAGCAGGAGGAGGATGCAGAGCTTTCAGAAGAGGTGTTTCCTTCTCACCCAGAAGCAGGCGGCCATCCTTGATGGCTCAGCCCTGACTGAGGCTGCGCTGGCACCTCCTTTTGCTAAGCACCGTGGGACAAATTCTCCAGGAAGGGTGCCAGCTCCCCTGCCTCCCCCGGCCCCCGGGTATGAAAAGCAGCAGCCTCACGAGGAGATAAAGCACCTGAGCCACACAGGCTGTAGAGATCACAGGAACCCCTTCCAGCATCACTTTCCAGCCCTCTCCTTTCCACAGTGCAAACCCCACAAACCTCATTAACCCTTTGTCGTACCCTAACCTTCTCCATTAACCTGTTCCTTCTGGCTGCCTCTGCTCCAGAGCACGATCTACTGCTACGTCAACAAGGGCTTTTTCATCTGAGGGGAGCAACAGCTTCACGGTGAATGTATTATTTGCAAATAATAAGCAGAAACAGCAACAATTCCCACATTTAGCTGACAGTAAGTAGGTGGTCATACAGTTAAACAAAATCTGTGAGGAAAGTGTCATGTAAGGTGCCATTCATGACTGGAAAACGGGCTTGTGGCAAGCAAAGGCATGGCTGGCAGGAAAAATTGTATTGAAAATCCTTTTAGTTGCCTTTAAATTCAGAGAGAGTCCAGCTCTCTTCCCAGTACTTGTACTTACTCTGGACATCTCTGAAACAAATCTTGATGGTACGTATGAAACTCTGCAGGGTAGCAGTTTAAGTAGCTGTGATACTGATGCATTAACAGAAAGACCAAAATTGTATTTCCACAAAATTTCAGGCATTTAATTGGTTTACACTATCATTTGTACCAGTTTTCAAACTCAAGTGCTCTCAGAAAAGGAAGAGGAAAGTGGCTGAATAAAGCCAAGGCAAATAAATGTTTGCTTATTCAAAAATAAATTGTAATTGTGTCCTACTCCTCAAAGAATTTTTTATACTTCAAGAATTTGGAAGTGTGCTATCCTAGGAATATTGCTGAAAAGGCACTTTTTATCCCTTCCAGCTAAAATAATCATTGACTCTAAGGTAAAAGCTCCCACTCTGGGGGCATGAGCAGAACCCAGCGGAATACGAGGGCACTCGTTCTCGGAGAAGCACCTTGCGGCCACCTCCTCGCCTAAGCGAAGCCTCATTACAGACAACAGGTTTTTAAGCTGACAGAGGTCTCTGTGAGGAAGTGACACCCAATTTATAACCAAATGAGTTTTTGCCATTATTGTAACAGACAACAAGGTAAGATGAGTTTGCTCTGCTGCATGAAACCACTAGTATAAGAAATTCGTGTCCTGTTCCTTCCAGCAATTCTCACATATCAGACAACTTTTTTTTTTTTTTTTTTTTAAACAATGCTCCATATTTCCACTCTCCAGCAGTATTGTTACTATCACAAATAGCTCTTGTCAGTTTGGGTGCCTACAGCCAAGGAGAGAGGAAGAATGTGCAAGGTAACAGGTGACAGCTTCAACTACATGATGTTTTGTTTTACTGACTTGAAAACTCCAGTAAAGATCCATCACACCTACAAACGACAAAAAGAAACCTGAACATGTCTTAACAATACGCATGTCCTTTTCTACTCTGAACAGCGGATGTCTTTTGATACTAGGAAACAGGACAAAGCCTGATATTTTAAATGACCATTGAATTAAATGTGGTCAAAAAAATTAAGCTCTAATTCTCTCCATCGGTATTCAACTCTGCCTCCCTTCATTTCTGCAGCCCTGCACTTTAACCCCTCATCCTGGCGCAGCTCCATCGCTTGCACACTTGGCAGAAGCAGTTCCCAAGTCCTCCTCAAAGTGAAGCCGTAATTGCCTGCTCACAGGACAGTGGCTTCATATAGCTGAAGCCCCCATTTGTGATCAAAATTTCAACACAATCCTCTTTTATTATATTACTTACAATACCTACATCACTCTAATTAGTCAGGATTTGCTCTTCAGTGGGACGTAGCTGCAGGATATTTGCAGAGAGTGCCTGCTAAATCACATTTGTAATTCCAAAGGAAAGAAAGAGCAGCAAAGTCATAGGGAATGCAAAACCCTGCAGGAAGGATAATCACGAGAGAAGCCCGTGACACCTATTACCACCATTTCAGGAAGGCCCCTTTGCTCTCGGCCAGCCTCCTACACAGTCCCACTTATTCCCCAGTTATTCCCTCTATTTTACTCTTTGGTCCAGCACACATCTACAGAAGGGAGAACTTAAACAGTCTCTGGTTCACCACCCATGAGCAGCTCCAACACAGGGTTCAGGCATGACCAATGGTTTCATGAAGGGACCAAGTATCTCAGAAACATTTTACTTTGCTGTTAAATACAATCATTATTTCAACTATTAAAAGATCTTGAGAACTAGCACCTTGATTTAGAGGTGTGAACTCAGTGATAAGTCACCGCTGAGCTTTGCTGAACTTTAAAGTCTGCCTTGCTCCTGGAGCTCTGTGAGGAAACAGCTGGCTTTGACTGGAGCTTCCAATTAAAACCTTCACACCTCGACATGTTCCACTGTGCTGAGATTTTATTACCTATGTACTATATAGAGTGCAAAGCGGGCATATAAATAACATAAAAGAACATGGCAGTCCAGCATGATGATGTTAGGGATATCTCATGCTGTTCAAATAGTCAAAAAGTCACCTGATGTGCCTGTGCTGCTGCCGTTTGGCATCCTCTCCCAGCCTGTTTAGGGATGGCGACCGGCTCCGGGAGGACGGAGTGTAACTCCCCACAGTTTTTACAGTTCCATTAGGATTATTCTGCATCTGTTGAAGTAGATGAGGTGAAAGGCTGCGGTGTGAAGAAGCAGAGGAGGAGACTGACCACTCGGGGAGGTTGTTGATGTTTAGATTGTTGTCGCTGTTGGAACGAAGCAAGATCCGAGGTGCTGCTAAGGTGCTTGGAGGTCTCCGCCTTCTGTTCGAATAGGTGGGAGCCTCTCTAAAGGGCACTGTGTAAAGAAAGACATCCAGGGTAATCTCAGATGATTTCACCATTCATATGTGTTTACCACCCCATAAAAAGATTTAGCAACATATGGCATTGTTTCTTCTGCGGAACTCTACCTTGCCTGCATAGCTAATGGAATTCATTATCTTTAAAACATCATTAAAACTGAAAACAACTGGGCAACGTTAACTTGTTTACTGGCTTTATTAACTAATTAGGCAACACCAGCAGCATGAGCCTGCTGAAGGCTCTGAACTACAGTCTAGGAAATGGGAAACACCTCATTATTGCAAGTTGGAGTCTCAAAAAGTTCACAGTCATGCCATGTTGTCGTATTCAATCAGACAGACACGGAACAGGGTTGATGATAGGCAGAATTTTTGATGCGTGAACTTCTAACTTCTCCCACTGGCAACCAAACTGGGAGAATTTTGGTCCATTGCAAGTTCTGGCCTAACCTGAAATCTGTAGTGTTAACAGTCACCTTATCCCCATCTTCCAGGTTAAAAATTGAGGACATAGATTCTTCTCTGGCAGAACTCTATTACATTGCTATAATCCCTAGGTATCCCTCTCTTTCTAATCTAGGCATTTCTACCGCACCTATTACTATTGTATATAGAACATATTACCCGAGGGTAATGCACTTGCTCTGCCACGTGCTGTGTCCCAAAGAGAACATGACTGCATCCAAAGGCTGCGATACACTACTCAGTGAAATAGTCATAACAGAAAATAAAAGCAAGGGCAATAAAAATGTAACACAAACCAGAGGGCTCATCCTTTCATCAGTGCTATTGGTACAGTGCTGCAGTCATACGAGAATTTGTCCAAGCAGACATGACATTTTCCAGATCTCCTTTTCTCACTGGTGGGTCAGTTAGTTCCTAAGTGCAACTTAAAAGGCAAATTGCCTCGTAAAAGGCAGCCAGCTATCACTAGATGCGATGGCATTTCCTACCCATATTATAAGGTAATAAAGGGTCTGACCCTGAAAACTCATGCTTGCCGCGGTCCCCATTCATGCCACTACTCTCATTAATTTATTTCAGTGGAACTCATGGGGTCGCACGATTTCAACCAAAGCGCGCATATTTACATCCGAACAGTCGCGGTAGCATACCTAACAAAAGGCAGCCAGGCATTATTCTGAGGACTCTATTGAGCTGTTGTAATTGTCAAAAAAATCATACTTTGATTGGGAAAGAAGCCCCACAAAATATCATCCTACATGTCTAAAGTGCCACTAAGTGCCATTTATAAAATGCCAGAAATGTCTACGCATTCAATATCCTTCAAAACCACACAAAAACCAGAATAAGAATGTCTGTCATACTGTGCAAGTAAATAAATTCACATAAATATGAATATACATAGGAATCAATCTGTCCTGCCTGGAAATACAGCCTTTAATTGAGAGAACACAGCAAAATCTAAGGTTCCAGAGCAAAACTGAAAGCATATTTATAACATAAAATAAAGAGGGAACTGCAAGTAAAAGAATGATTTATATCGTTTTCACCAGAATCGGTTTATGATTAACCAGGATTCTGAATATTTTAAAATAACATCCCTCATATTTCTAATGAGCTGAAACTTTCTCTGGTAAATAGCTCAACAACATCGAAACCACCAAACAAGAGAAGAGCGTGCCCAGAGAGAAAGGGCTTTACATTCATTTCCATAACATTTCATTTGAAACACGGCTGAGATAAGGGAAGTAGTCTTTAAAAGCCGCTAAGGGGATAAAGCATACAAGTCCAATATTTATGCTAGAAACTGGCAGAGACTCTGCCAGTATTTCAGAATATTCCAAGTTTTCATATTTCCTATCGGTTTAAGATTTCAAAGCAGCGGAGTACATCACTGAAAGCACCTTGGTGCTTCAAATGTCACGGTGAAAGCCCCGGCTAGCACTAACTTATTTCCAAAACTGACATATATAGATCCTCTATATTGATGTATACAACATAGATGTTGCCATTTGCGTGTTCCTGTATTTTTGACATTTGGGATACAGCTCTAGAAATTATTTCGTTGAAGACAGGGATCCCTCCCAGGTACAATAAAGCAGAATAGCTGCTGTACTAATTTCAGCAAAGCAGAAAGAACGCAAAACTGAATATAGGGAATGTTTTGCACACAGAGGTTTGCTACCCGGAGGTCTAACGCTGTTCCCTCAGGGTCACCAAAGTTTGTCCTGGACTTCAGTAAAAATCAGATCTGACCCTTAGATTTGAATATTTCATGAAACAGGTAGCACACCAAGCAGACTGCCGAGCCTTCCAGCCCCAGACTGATAAAACTAAATATTGCCAACGTTTTGGGGCTGTTGGCTGTGACTTCTGAGAGGTTGGTGGGATATCTCCGGGCAGGAGTGGGAGGGAGCACAAGGGGCACGGTGTGAGGCACGGTCGCAGGACAGACAGAGAATTGCTGAGCACCTTTATACCGACAGATTTTAGAAATCACAAAACTGGCACATTCATTCTTACTGAAAACCAGGGGATGATTTGTATGTATACACACTCTCCAGGTACCAGATGAAGGTAATTCTTTTTCCCTGACATACCTTAGAAGGATTTTGCATGACCATTTAGGAGTTAGCTTTTGCTTTGCTATTAATGTTCTATTCCTAGGGAGAGAACTACAAGCAAAATTAGCCTTTACTACAGAAGATAAACAGGAAAGGGAACGACTAATGACACCAATTGACGTGTGTCTAACACAAATCTTTTATAGAAAGAGTTAAAAATAAGCATTTCCATGCCTAAAGTGATTAATATTCCACCCAACTGTTTCTTTTCCCCAGCAATCTGCAAACTGTAAGTGGGTGGATATTTTTTTTAGCTGCTTCTTGTAGGCATTATTTATATTATTTTCACAATAAAAAAATAACTACAACACAAAATGATGAAATGCAGATGTCCACGCTTTAACCCCTGTTGGATACTGGCTTTCCCTAATATTTCACCACGTTCAGAACTGTAAGTATAACTGTTGCAAAACTTGTTTGGGAAAAACACTTGATATAAAATGACATGAAAATGTCAGAACTAATTTCATGCCCCTAAAGTTGAAAATTATCATCCCTAAAAGCATACCTGAAAGTACGAGTTAATCCTTCCTCCAGCTCTCAGAATTCTATTCCTGGCATCTCATACATCTGAAGGGGCAATTCAGCACCATTCACTGACAAAATTCACCTAGGAAATTCCTTACGTGTTTTCAAATGCATTTCTCAGGGAACAAAAACATTTTTATAACTACTTGACTCTTCAGAGAAAAACCTAAAATGAATAAAGTCACATCCAGCCTTAATAATCAGTTGCCTAAATGGACTGTCTAACACCAAAGAATTTTGAAAAAGAAACTGCAGGAATTGATTAATTATAGAGTCACTAAGCCGATCATATTCAATGTACACAAGAAAACACCGGTCTGAAACATCAAAGTGTTCTGCTTTCATTGCTTACCTTCTTTCTTTGTGAAGGCATTTAACAAAGACTTCATTTTCCCTTTTTACTTTAGCAGCAATCCCCTCATTATATAACCTTTGCTGGGAAGAAAAGAGGCAAAAAAAAGAGAGGAAAAAAAAAAGTAAAATAAAATAAAATAAAATAAAAGCTACCCAATTTCTATGTGTTCAGGCTGCCTGCACCCTGACATAAGCAGCAGGTTTCTGGGCACCGTGTAATTGCGAGCATAGCCGGGCATGCAGTACCCAGCGTTCTGGTGACAAAGCCCACCCCACATTCTGTCTGTCAGCTGGGAGCCAACTGTGCATAGACTGGAGCTGCTC